CTCCCAAATTGCCTCATCGCCCGCATAGATAAGAGAGAACCTTAAAAATTGCAATTGCAATTGCGATTTTTTGTTTTTGATTAACATAATTGGTGTGAGTCAAGTTTTGGGTCAGTGGGTCAATTATTAAAGTAAGTCAGGTTTAAAACTGACCCAAATAAAAATGAGTTAGTATTTAAACCCAGTTCAAAAAAATGGATATTTATGGGTCAGGTCAAGGTCAGATCAAGCGCAAGACAAGTGAATCAGTTTTTTTGCACACCCCTATTCAGGAGGTCATTCATCTTAAAATTGTTTCAAGTCAAGCACGCTTAACTATTAAGTTCTTTCGTTATTAGCTACCGAAAAGTAGATGCACCTTGTTAGTATAGATAATATTTAATAATTCTTATAAGCTATTCTCAACTGAATAGTCCCATACTTGTACAGTCTCTAGATTTTCTTTCTTTCAGGTGTTGATTCGATTCATGTATCCTTCGCTGAAAGCTTATCTGCTCCTTATTTGTGCCCTTGCGCACCATGCCCTTTAACACCACGATCACTTCTGCTCATCAGCGCCCGGAACATTACACTCGCGTTTTTCTTGACACACGGAACTCTATTTGATTCCTTTATTCGATTGGGGTCCCTTAAGTTGTTAAATGATTTGAAGCCCCAAAAATAAGAAGCAATTTGAAATTGTTCAAAATGAATATCAAGGTGATAAATCACCTAATCAAACGAAAATGTATGGATACCTTACTTTCCACTAATATACATCTTTGCTATGAATAAATCCATAGAAAAAGGGGTCCAAAATATAAGCGGCAAGGAGTGAGCACGCGTCAAACATGCACACTACCGTAGATGGTGAGATTAGTAAATGTTTGGCATTACAATTAGTTTATAGTATTTGTTTGATAGACGTTCTCCATCATGCTATGAGATTAGATCGATTGTGTAAATTAGGAAGAGCCCTTAACAAACATGAATATATCTTAATTGTATAAGTGGACGAATACAAACAAATTCTTTAATTGACTTGTCTAGAAGTAAGATTAATTAAACATCAATAGATTAAAGACAATTAATACCGTGCACACTTGGAGATTCTTTTCTGTTTAACAACTTTCTTCATTACATTTGATCAATCATCGACATGACGCAGGTTGTAGCATGTAATTTTCTACATTATGCTCTTAATTACATGCAGATTGCAGCATGTAATTAAAGTGTTGCATATCTTAAACTATGTAATTCTGTTATCATGCATAACAGGTTTTTTTTGACCCTTATAACCTTTTATTAATAATTAATTATTAAATTGACTTTCATTGTAAACTATTTTAAAAATTTAACCTCACAAAGAAACATGACACCAATCTGTCACTGTTTGACCGTTGACCACCAAGCCTACCCGGGTACACCCCTCCCTACCCAGGTATTTCTTAAAAATTTATGCCTACCCGGATGTACTCGGGTATATTTCTTGACATCTGAAAAATTGTTTGAATTAGTTACCTTAGTAGATAGAGGTGTACTCGAGTAAATCTCGACAGCAGGCAATTGTTGAGGAGGAAGAAGCACAAACAACACAAGTAACAGAAACGAGGGAAATTGTTGAAGTTGAAGAAGCACCAACAGCACAAGTAACAGGTTTTTGTCTGTTCTGCTACTTCTGCACAACATAGACCCCTTAGCAATTGCTATTTGAGTTTTGTGCAAGCAAGGGTTTTTTTTTCTTTCCCCATTGGGTTGCTTCTTATAAAAGATCTTATCCTACCCTACCCTCTTCCACCCATCTTTAGAAACTTCCACCCATCTTTAGAAAGTTTCTTTCTTTCTTTTCTCTCGGAATTTTCCATATTGATTCCCCAGCTTCTGATATCACCTATCACCTTGACTTTTTTATTTTAATATTTCAAAGTGCACAAAGACAGAATCAACCAGAAAAAAGCATTTAACAATGGATTCAAATTCCCGTTATCATGTCCAACAGCACCAACCAAATTCTGGGCTACTTCGCTTTCGTTCTGCACCTAGTCCAGTTCTTGCAAATTTCAAACAAGGTGAAGGTGCTTCTGATAAGGTTAACCCCTGGGAGGACTCTGAACCAGAGGGGTTGGTTTTGAGGTTCTTGAATTTCGGTGACAGCAGCAACGATACAGCTTCAGCTTCAATACTAAATCTCAACGGTAGGTATACCTTCAAAGGTTTGGGTCGAGATTTACCCAGATACACCCCTTCCTACGTAAATAATTCAAGCAATTTTTCAGATGTCAAGAACTATACCGGGTTACACCCCTCCCTACTCAGGTAGGCATAATTTTCAAAATATACCCGAGTAGGAAGGGGTGTACCTGGGTAGGCTTGGTGGTCAATGGTCAAGCAGGAACAAATTGGTGTTATGTTTTTTTTTGGAAGTTAAATTTTTGAAATAATTTATAAATAGAGTCAATTTAATAATTAATTATTAATAAAAAATTATAAGGGTGAAAAAGCTGCATCGCATGCTGTGATGTTCAAGAGAAGAGTTCCATCATAATAATTTTACATGGGCATGCTGGAAACTTTAATGTCTAACATTAATGCACCAGTTAATTTAGACTCATCCAAACACCGCTTGCATTCACTTTCACTCGGGTTAATCTACCTTCATACAAACATATATGACGCATCATTATTTTTTTATTTTTTTTAGTATTTCATAGGGCAAAGCCCAAGGAAAAAAAAACAAAAACAAAATCAAAGTAAATCAGAGACTAGGACATGTCTCAGCTCGTAAGGCGCTTCAGACAGCAAAATAAAATCCTCCCTAACAGAAGAAGCTAGCTTGGCAAGAAGGTCCGCACTAGCATTGCAATCTCTTTTGGTGTGCAAGAACCTGATGATCCAGTCCTTGTTACCCCAACTACGAATGCTTTCAACAAGGCTGTGCTTCCCATTATTGTCAGTACTACAATTAATAGCTTCAATGGCTTGCAAACAATCACTCTCAACCATAAGCTGGGCCACTTTTTTCTCCCAGGCAACTTGAATTCCCATCAATATAGCCCAGAGTTCAGCTAAGTAGGGAGGGCAACTACCAATCTTGTAGAGAAATCCAGAAAGCCACATACCATTTTCATCCCTGAGGAGACCCCCACAGGCTGCTAAAGAGGAGCTAGGCTTCACTGAAGCATCTACATTTAACTTTGTCCAGCCTTGGGGATGACGCATCATTATTAATGACGAACTACAAACATATCTAGAATCATGCTAATTTGATACGTATCTGCCCAAGTAACCAAGGCAAAAAGGCTTGAATTGAAATAAGGTCCAATAATAATAAATGATTTGGATCCCCTTACGTTACTTAGTGACATAACACTTTAAGAATGCTGACATAGGTTTGATCTCTGATCGTGTGTATAAAAAAAGTTTTGTTTGGAGAGATTGTATCCACGATCGCGTGATCTCTTCGTCTCGAGGGGATTAGTACTTGACTTTCGACTGAGGGATATCTTTGGAATAATTTTCAAAAAAAAAAAAAAAACAAATTCAATAAATCCTATACAAATAGTAGATGATGGAAATCATAGGGAGATCCAAATCCTTTCATAAAACTCTGCTTCATTGAGGCCCACAAATCAATTCAAGCAATTATTCCCTTTTAGTAGCCTACTTTTCTTCCAGGGGCGATGATATAGGCTACAGACATGCATCATTTAAGATGTTAGGAAAAAAAAAAACTCATGTTATATTTCAGCACTCAACAGCCTATAGGTGAGAGTCATTATATCTTGGTGTATGCATTTGTTCAAGTCGAAACACACTTGCAGTCTTGAAGGGCATGTATGTATCCATCATACCAGCTTTTCAAACAAGTTTTTTTTGCCCCCTAAAAACTTAAAAACTGTACGCTCATCATGTGCCACTGACATATATTAGTGGAGCTAAACAGTACACGGCTTATCATTCTTGAGGTTCATAAATGCCCAGAAGTGTTACGGATATTTATGAGTTTTTTAGGAAAGAGATTTCAAGAATCTAAAAGAAATAGTAACTCACTTTTACACCGCTTATCCATGATTGCCTTTTGAGTTCGATTTCAAATTTAACCACTTGGAAAGTTTGTGTGCAATGATGCTTCCAAGAGTTTTGTAATTATTATTTATTAAAGAAAGTTTAGATATAGTCATTTGAACAATGTTAGACAATTGAAACAACATACACAAGTGTACTAATCAAGAAATGTATTGGCTTTTAAGCAACATTATTTCAAATTGCCGTCTCCCGAATGATCAAAAAGTTGTAAAATCAATATTGGTAAGAAGGGTCTGCCACAACACAACCCATGACCCATCTTAACAACCGCTCTGTTAACCAGCTTTTGTCTTTTGGGCCTCTATGTTTATTTGTGGGCTTAAAACCCAATGAGGTATATTTTGACATAACAGTAGCATGTCGCCCTCAATCCTCACGTGTGACAGAAAATCAATGCACAAAACTATTTTTATATGTTTTTTTTATTAGATATTTTACCTATCTTTTTTTATATTTATCTTACCTATTTATCTTAATATCAGAATTTTAATTAACTTTCATTTTTTTTTCTCTTCTTTAAAAATTCTGATTCAATAACATTAGAGATGAGTAAGTATAACATAATATCTTATCATTTTTTTCTGATATTATAATTTCATACCTAAGGAATATTATTATTAAGGATAAGATATTCTATTTTTTTTTTATATATGTGTTATTATTTTTGTTTCTTAATCAAATAACTTTTTTTAATTGAATATGTCTTGTTATTAAGTTTATACTACATTAAAAATTAAATAGCTTTATCTTTTTTTAAGTTACTAATTTTGGTTTAGTGATGAGTGGGATAATTTATATTAAATCATGTTTTTAATTCTCACATATTAAAAAAAAAAAAAAATCTTCAAGAGAAGGTTCAGTTTGCGCCCTAATGTTCCCGCCATTCTACCATCTTTGCCTGCCGCATGCGATTGAAACCACTGTGACCACCAGAAACCACACTTCATTTCTATTACCATTTCATGCTTGCACTCTATTTCCGATCATGCTTCTTTCCTCCACCATTCTTTCGCAGTAGTGTTTGTGTTTCCTCTCTCTTCCCTCTCTCTTTCTCTCTCTCCTCAACCCTTCGCCCCCTTACCCTTACAATGTCCAAGAAACCACCCTCTGCTTTCGATGCCCTCATGTCCGGCGCACGCGCCGCCGCTTCCGCCGCCAAGAAGAATCCCCTACAACCATCCTCATCCCCCAAGAAAAGAAAATCACCTCACCCCGCTTCCATCCAAAACCCTAACAACCTCAACCCCCCCGATTCCGAAGCCGTTGATGAATCCAACAAACCGAGAAAATCACCTCATTCCACTTCCATCCAAAACCCTAGCAACCTCAAAACCCCCGAGTCTGCAACCGTTGAAGAATCCAAGAAACCGCAGGAAACAGCCAAGCTGGAAATAACCAAGAAACCTCAGGAGAAGATCGCCGAACTGAAGAAGCGAGTTCCGCAGCTGAAGAAGAAGCCGTCCGAGTTCGATCCGAGCTCGGTGGCTTGCTGGGAGAAGGGCGAACCTGTGCCGTTCCTGTTCCTCAGCTTGGCGTTCGACATGATTGCTGAAGAGACGGGAAGGATTGTGATAACGGATATAGTGTGCAATCTGTTGAGGACTGTGATATACGCCACGCCGGAGGATCTCGTGCGCGTTGTTTATCTCTCCGCGAATAAGATTGCTCCCGCGCATGAAGGGTTGGAATTGGGAATTGGCGATGCTTCCATTATCAAGGCGCTTGCCGAGGCGTGTGGAAGGACTGAGCCAGAGATTAAGAATCTGAATAAGGTTCTTGATTGATTCTTTTGCTTTTCGTTCTTGCATTTCCACAATGGCCGTTCCTTTTGTAAAAAGTTGAAGTTTATTTAACTCAAGAAGATGTTTCTTGTTGTTTGCTTTCTGCAGAAAAAAGGTGATTTGGGCTTGGTTGCCAAAGAGTGCCGTTCTTCTCAGACTATGATGCGGAAGCCTGATGCATTGACTATTAGGAAGGTTTTCAACACCTTCCGCCTTATTGCCAAGGTACATTACCATCCATTTTGAGTCTTATGCAATTGGGTTATTCACTTATTCCGGTCATTACTTCCCAGCCCCTCTGGTTTGAGCTTGTGCTAAGTTGTTTTAGATTTAGGGGTGTATTGGTGCCTGGTATTGTCTAGAGAAGTTTAATCTTTCTCAACTATTTTGGTCCGTCATGTATAATTTATTTTAGTAGTGACCATTATGCAATCTAAGTTGGTCTGCTGATGCATTAGGTGGAATATGAAATTATTGGATTACATTACAATATTGAAAATGATTAAAGAAACCAAGTATAGTATGAGCCTTTTTTGGTATGACTAGTTTAATGGTATTCTCTAACGATGGTAGAAAAGTAATGTGTGCTCAAAAAAGAGAGAATTCACAAACATGAATTCTGAGATAATTTGATGTTGAAGATTTGGAGTGTATTAGTGGTATTTGGTGCCCTTTTCAGATATTGTCCATAAAACACAGATAACCATTTTCAGCTCATTTTGTTGATACTCAATTATGGTTAGAAGTTTATTTGAGTTTAAAATGCTGTACCGGAATAATGTGTTTGGGAGAGAGTTTCATTTGTTATTGTTTTTCTATCTTGCACATCTTTTGCTAAAAGCTATGGCTCACTAAAAGTTATGTTGTATATTTGTTTTGATCTTTAAATCCTGTTTGGCGGGTATGTTGGATGTTAATAGGCATAGTTTGTATACTGAAAGAGAAGGAAAGGGGAATTTATTGGGATTTGGAGCAAATTTTTGTTGTGATCTGAATGTTGCTAGAGTTTGCTACTATTTTGCCCTTATAAAATGTTTACAGGAATCTGGAAAAGATAGTCAAGAGAAGAAAAAGAATCATATCAAGGCACTTCTTGTTGCTGCTACTGACTGTGAACCTCTATATCTAATCCGTTTGCTACAGGTTGAAATTGTACTTTTCTTGAAGTAATTTGGTGGGCTTACTTCTCCATGTTAATTACTTCTTGGCTTTGTTTTCTAGACAAAGTTGCGAATTGGGTATGCTGAACAAACTCTCTTAGCTGCATTAGGCCAAGCTGCAGTATACACTGAAGAGAATTCTAAACCGCCTCCTAAAATTCAGTCTCCTTTAGAAGAGGTAAGCTAATCTAATTGAGATTGGGAAATATGGTACAGAAAATGAATTGTGAATGACAATGTGTGCTTTGGGTTTTAAACCTTTCGGGTGCATCAGCACTAAAAGATGGGGTGGGGGGCTGCTGCTGAAATAGGTATCAGTGCTTTCTGGTGAAGATACTAACCTTTTCCCCAGTTTTTCTGCATTTTAAGAAATTTTAGGCTGTAGTAATTGATTCAATTCCTTTTCCTATTATATATATATTTTTTATTTATGGTTTGATTTTGCATCAGGCTGCAAAGATTGTGAAACAAGTTTATTCTGTTCTTCCCGACTATGACAAAATAGTTTCTGCACTGCTTAAGGATGGTGTATGGATACTTCCAAAGACATGTAATTTTACTCCTGGTGTTCCAGTTGGACCTATGCTGTCGAAAGCAACCAAGGGTGTATCTGAAATTCTAAATAAATTCCAGGATGTGGAGTTTACCTGTGAATACAAATACGATGGAGAGCGTGCTCAGGTGATGATACTTCATGGTCAAATATTCTATCAGAAATATACTGCTTATGATACTTATGTGCTCATTAGCTTTATTGAGACAGATACATTACATGGAGAATGGCTCAGTTGAGGTTTACAGTAGAAATGCAGAACGGAATACTGGGAAGTATCCTGATGTTGTTGCTGCAGTTTCAAGGTAAAAAACTGAATTGAGAATATTATATTTGAGATCTGGTAGCATCTTTTTGGGCCTCTTATGAACACTTCCTTACCAACTTGAAGCTGCATTTAATGAAACAAACAATCTTAGTGGCTGTTGATTATATTGAAATAAGCACACTGGTTGCTTAGTACAATTTTCTCAACTTCATAGATTCTGATATTTTCTGTCAGTGAACAGGTTAAAGAAAACAACTGTATCATCGTTTGTTCTTGATTGTGAACTTGTTGCATATGATCGTGCAAAACAGAAAATCCTTCCTTTCCAGGTAATCTTAATGCTGGTTCTCTATTTTATGGCTGTAAATACTTCTTTTAATGTTAGTGTAAAAAGCTTTTATACTGACACTTGATCAAAATTAGATCCTTTTAAACGTTATCTGTATTGTTTAACTATCTTGATGATGCAACTTTTTATTTTCTGATATTTTTTGTAAGGAGTTGAGATTGGACATATGTGTATCACCTAATATCTTTGCAGGTTCTTAGTACTCGGGCTCGCAAAAATGTCGCTATAAGTAGTATAAAGGTTGATGTTTGCATATTTGCTTTTGATTTGTTGTATCTGAATGGCCAAGCACTTCTTCAGGAGAACCTGAAAATCCGTAGAGAGGTACCTACTTTTATCTTTTCTCTGCCAGTAGTTTCATTTTTATTGTTTTATACTGTTTATCAAATGTTAATGTCTAAACGTAATTAATCATTGAATATAATGTAATTTCTGAAACTGTCATCTCCAATTAATTACTGGCTTTATATTAGTTAGATCTTCATGTTAATGAGTGCCTAATTTTCTATCACAGCATCTCTATGCCTCTTTTGAGGAAGAATCTGGATTTCTTCAGTTTGCAACATCAATAACATCAAATGATGTCGAGGAAATACAGAAATTTCTTGACAAAGCTGTTGATGCAAGGTCTTTATTGATTCATCTGGCTAATTTAAATTCATGTAGATAGAAATTTCATCATTTGAATTAAAATTATATAGATCATTTCAGCATAATTTAGTATACTCTGTGATAATGTGGTTGCATTATTAGTAAAAGCATTTGATAGGCATTGATAAGACATTAGAATGTATGTCTAACTTGCACAGCTCTTCCAACTTCGTTTTTTCTTGCAATGATTTGAACGGGACTTTTTATCATTTGGCTTGTCTCTTGATTTGCAGTTGTGAGGGATTAATTATCAAAACATTAAAAGAAGATGCTACATATGAACCTTCCAAGCGATCACTCAACTGGCTAAAACTGAAGAAAGATTATCTTGACAAGTAAGGATGTGATATTTATTTTTCTTAATTCACTTTCATCTTAATGGGTTTCTATTTATTCATTGACTCTTATTTGCAGTATAGGGGACTCACTAGATTTGGTACCTATTGCTGCTTTCCATGGTCGTGGGAAACGTACAGGTGATCATGAAGTATATTCCTTATGCAATGGTGTCTATAGTTGTTACTTATCATTTTAAGCCAGTGGCCTCCGATGTTTCTCATCACATATGAATAAGGCTAGGCCCTTGGGATTTTCTATATACTGCTATTATAAACCTTAGCTCAAAGCAGTCTGAAATGAAATAGTGGCACAATGTCTTGCAGGAGTCTATGGTGCCTTTCTTCTTGCTTGCTATGACAACAACAAAGAAGAATTCCAAAGTATTTGTAAGATAGGTGAGCGTTTTGATGTTGTTAAGTGACTACTGAGTGCTTTTGTTTAATAAACTTCATTCTGTCTCAATCTTCATGTTACGGTGGGTAGGAACGGGATTCTCGGATGAAGTGTTAGAAGAACGCTCAGCTAGTCTTCGTTCTAAATTGATTCCCAAGCCAAAGGTCCCTACCTCTCTTGTTTGTCTCTGAACCTTTTTAAGTCCTGCTTAATATTTTATGAACTAATTTAAACATGTTCTTTGATTTCAGACATACTATCGATTTTCAGAAACAATCAATCCTGATGTCTGGTTTGAAGCCAGTGAGGTTAGAATAATCTTGATTTTTCTTGGTAATTTTTTTATTTTGTTTTCCATTGCTCTCCTTTGATGTACTATTATTAATGAGTTGTCTCATACCTGCCTCTTACTTGTATTACTGTGCCCTTGTTTTGAATTTCCTATTGCTTCAATGGAAGATCTGGAAGCATTTTAGTACTGCTGGGGGGATACTGTCATGTCTGATGCCACTTAATCATGGCTGGAAGGTCTCCCAATATGATCAAGTCTTCAGATTGGTTGGAAAAATTACATTTGTCTAATATTTCTTGTTTTACATTGACTTCTGGTTGATGAATGTCCTTGGAGGTGTAACACTAATTACAATGTGGAGGATAATGGGTGCAAATATCCAAATACGTGATCATTTTTTTTTTATAGTTCCTGGGACAGTGTAGTAAGCTTATGATTCCCAATGTTTACCCATTTACCCATACCACATTATTATTGCAATTTAATTTTTAAACAAGTGAAAGATCTAGAGTTGAGATGATTTTTTGCTAATACCTTGTTGATTTTTTTATTATTTATCTTTTCCAATAAAATTGGATTATGCTCACTGTAGCAAAGTCTTTTGCACTTAGTTATAGGTGATCTTATTTCATCCAGGTGTGGGAGGTGAAAGCTGCAGACCTGACCATTAGCCCTGTTCACCAAGCTGCAGCGGGCATAGTAGATTCGGCTAAGGTATTAGAATGAATTGATGATGGAAGTGTCAAAAGTTTTCATTTCTCTTTGGAATTCTGCCTGTTAACATCGTTTAATTGATAATAGGGGCAAGTTATTCTTACACTTGTGTAAGAATAATTAATTTTACATTTATTTTTGGATATTGATACACTTGTATCTAATGACTCATATAATTAAAAATTAGTGCTGTTACATATAAATGGAATCTCAACGGCCAAGATTGAGTATATAATTTATACTGGTGTAAAATAATTCTGTCCCTTGATAATGATAGCTGCTTTTAACTTTTATGGGTTTCTAACTTTCTATAAAGGGCTTATCACTTCGATTTCCACGTCTTGTTCGAGTTCGGCCTGACAAAGCTCCTGAAGAAGCCTCATCAGCTGAGCAGGTAAAGTACAATCTTCACTCTCTAACTAACAATATATGATAGAAGATTGAAAAAGAGTAACGAGGGAATTGAAAATTGAGTTCTTTGGTCATGCTTTACTCAATTGTTTTCAGGTTGCTGAAATGTATAATGCTCAAAATCACAATCAAACTAACAACCAAGACGACAATGAAGATGATTGAGGGAAAAAGCTTCCTTGCTTCACTCATGCTGCCAAACTAAAAAATTTCAGCTTTGTTTTATGATAACCAATGTTGAGTGGCTCTGTCGATGCAAATTCTTTGCCTTAAGCATAGGTCTGGGAGCATGACCGCTTCTTTGACATAATTGGAAAGTTGTTGTACAATGTGGAATAAGCTCATGGAGGGTCCAAAAAGTAGGCATTTGCTTGTGTAGATATATGATTTTGTTCCTTTAACATGGTACTGCAGTTAAGGCTGCTAGCGCAGACAAAGAACACTGCTTAACACTTAGCACATGCTCATAGCATCTCAATATCAATGCTCATTTTTCAAATGATTTACCAGGTCACATGTCTTGTGGAGCTGTCTTTCGTTTTCAATAGTAAAATGTTGTATTGGGCTTTCTTTCTACTGTAGATGTCGATGTTTCAAATATCTAATTCTAGTGCACCCATGGACCTGACTCAGAAGATAAGATTGTTGAATATTATTTCCACAATGGGGTGGTGGCGATCCTTCTGGAAGCCAGATCAACTTAATAGTGAAAAAGGGACCGGGTTCAATGATTGCCGTGAAGGAGACACTTAGGTTGAGGTCTGCCTAATGTTTTGAACAATTGTGTTAGTATATAGTCAAGCAAGTAATCATCTTCAAGCCTCCGTGTTTTGTGGAATAACCTCCACTAAACTGTTTTCACTTTGATCGCAGTTTTTGATTCCTCTTTTTGCAGACTTGAGATGGCCTTTTTTTTAAGGTTCTACGATGGGTTCACAAATATATTTTCGTTCTTTTCTTTGAAATTTCATTTTTTAATCATTGTTCTTTGAAATTGTTGGCCCGTCGTATAATTTGGGCCTGGGCTTCATTTGCTTAAAATTTTCTTTGATGTTAACTTGCTTCCACCGAATTGTTTTTACATGGCTCGTTAGCCTACAGTTGACTAATGTTCCGCTGTATCTTGTTTTGTAAGGCATGAATCGCGTCATTTGCGCAACCTGTGTTAATTATTGTTCAGATGTGGCTTAGCGTGTTTTCTAGGACTTCTAGTTGCCGTCACTGGCTAGTATGCATTGATGTAATGTTCATTAGCAGAGCTAGCTGGATGAAAGTAACAAGTATTTTTATTTTTATTTTTATTTATTTAGACCAGGAAAGCAATTTGCTATACCTTGCGCTAACCTCGCAGGAGAGGAAGACATCTGAGGTCAAAATGACAGAAAATCTAAAGTTCTTGAACGGGAATAGTACAAATTATATGCTAGGTAACGCCAACATTTGGAAATTACGCGCAGTACGCACTGTTTATGAGCAAAGCTATGCACTCTGCATCTACCTGTTTGCCCTGGTGAAGACAATCCATGTGGCTTCTCTTTACCTGCCCAACCTTTTCACCTTGAGCGAGCAACGTAAACTGTTGTAGAACATGGCTACCCTTGTAATGTGAACTGTGATGCTTACAACCATTGCATTCTAAGATAACAAAAGTACTAGAAGAGAAGTGGCTTACGATGAACTAGATGGATAAGCTATTTGCTACAGTGACCACAGTTGTTTCTAAGATCGTAGATAACCCATTTTTTATTTTCACTTTTGGGTACAGTATAATTCAACTTTTTATGCCATGATTTAGCATGCTTCATATGTTGTTAGAGTCTATGATATTTCCTTTCACTGCCACGCTTTCACCGGACATGATAGGTAATATTGAGATATATTGGTCAAAATTAGATGCTCTTCTGCGGTTCTGCCTCTTCAAAAAGAAGAAATATTCGCGCGCTCTTAATGGAATCACAAACAGGTTTAGTGGGTGCAGATACCAAAAGAGACTTTAGTGAATTAGTATTACAAAAGAGAGAAGAAATAATCTTTCAAAAAAACAAAAAACAAAAAAAAACACAAGACTAGAATTGAATAATGATAACTTCACTAACAAAAGCTTAATATAATCATACATCACACCAGTAATAGATCCTGATTCTGATTTGTGGGTCCTCCAAACCCGACACGCAGAGCTTAAGGGCCTTCCCCCTTGGTTGTTGGCCACACCATATCCCAATCCCAACGACTACAAACCCAATCACCCATCCTCTGAGTTGTTGATGTGATCCTTCAGATCAATCTCTCATCACTCACTCTCTCTCACACACACTCATATCACTTGCTGAACTACAGTATATTAGTTACATTACAATTTCAGTGACCCTTTCACTACACACAAAACAAAAAGTAGAATGTGAATAGGTGAAAATGCCAAGCATAAATTCTTCACCCAAATATTACCAGGAAGCCAAAATCAAGCAAATTTTCTTCTTCTTCTTGTTCTTCTCCCACTGAGTTAAATCCGGATAACTTGTGTTCTAGAAGAAACCACTATACATATGCTAAATCAGTCGCATACCAGCTTGCTATTCCTAAAGCTTTAATCCTATGAACTTGTAAATATATAAATTAAAAACTAAGTAACAGTGGTTGTCAGTGGAATACAATTCTTTGGTAGGTGGTATGAGTGGGAGAATCAGAGTCTTCAAAGAGAACCCTTTTTCTATTGACTCTTCCGCAGTTGGAGGAGGGAGTGCTGTTCCCGTTAGAGATAATGAAGGAATCTTGGTGGAGGAGCTGCGGTGGCTGTGTCTGTTGTGGCGGTGACGGTGACGGTGAAGGAATGGTCACTGGGGGAATCTGAAAGGATTCAAGTGGTGGTGGTGGGTGTCTCCATTGAGGAAGTGGTCCTGCAAGGAGAAGGGTTTGAAGGAGAGGACCAGCTTTCATCACTGCTTGTAAAAGCTTACCTTTTTCTGGTAACGGTTTATCTGTTGCTACTAACTCAATCATTTGGGTTTGTGGCAAATGGTCAATAACTGGAGAGGAAACAATGCTTTCTTCACAATCTGATGATGACAGGCCATTGTGTGAGTCAATTCCTCTCCTTGCTTCATCTTCAATGCTTGAAATTCCAGACACAGGACCTGCTTGTTGTTGTTGTTGTTGTTGTTTTGGTTGGTTCTGGAAAAGTAACTTCTCCAAGACAAGTCTCTGGCATTTCTCTTGTGCTTCGTCTCTTTCTCTTGTGACTTTGTTCAGCAGTTCCTTTAGGTTAAAGAGTTGATCGTCCCTCTTTTTGAGTTCCTCTTGAACTGCAGCTCTTGTTTGTTCTAGCTCCAGAGTAGTGTATAAAAGTGACTGCTTCATCTCCTCCATTGACTGTAACATTAAAGTCATACAACACCAATGAAATTCAGAAAGATTTATCAACCCCATTAGGGCCATTACACATTTTTATGCCTAAAACATGCAACTAAACAGCATCAATCTATGTAATAATGGAAAGAGATGAAGGAAATAACTAAAGTAGCTACCTTTCCCTGGCAGTAGTAAGCCCAACTTAGAAGAGGGGTGCGTTGATTGTCCATGCTCTGAGTCTCCAAATGACAATTGATACTATTATTATTATTATCTTTGGCTTTTTGAAAGAAAGAAAGAAAGAGAGAAAGATAAAGGGAAATGGGGACAGAGAAAGAGGTGAGTGAGAGAGGGAAGAGAAGAGGGAAATGAGAAAAGGAGAAACAGAGTTAAGGGGGGTTATGGACCAAGTTTTTGGTGAAGGTTGAAGCTGTTTTTATAAGAACAAGTCCAAGTTACTATTGTTAGTGTTACTTCCCTTGTGGATTTGCCTTCTCATGGGGGTGTTGGAAAACAGCACAGAAAAAAAAAAGCCAAAATCCAAAATGTGGCCAAATCCTACGTTCCATGTAGTCTATATGACTCGTGTCTAATAATATCTTTCGAATGCTTGAAGTATTGGCTGCCTATTCAAATCACTTGTTACTTTTATTTGTTTTCTTTCTTATTTTTTAATTGAAAAAAATATTTCATTAACTTTTTTTTGGTATGCAAATATTTCATTAACTTTGTTTTTGAATAAATAAGACAAGTGATTTGATTTCTCTGTTAGTTTATATTTCTTAAATTTTTGAAAAAAGTTTATATATATATATATATATATATATATATATATATATATATATATATATATATACACACACATAAAGGAGAAATTCTTAATTACAATAGCAGCAAGTCTCAGTATATGATCTAACTTTGATAATAAACACGTTTGAAAGAGAGTATTTTTATGATATGATTTAATTTAAAGCATTCTCTTTTTAACTTTAAAAAATAATTTTTTAAAATAATTTATCTAATTATTATAAAATCTAAAGCATATTTTTTGAACAAATATATTTTTATTGAAAAATCAAATAAAGGGACCCGATGTAATATTTTAAACAATAAGTTGGGTGCTAGAAGCCAAAATGAACAATAAAAAGCTGGACCAAGAATTCAGTTATTCATGTTGTACTTTTTAAGTTTTAACCTCTCTTTCTTAGTCCTTAGACAAGTCCTCTTCAGATCTATTACTCTGCTTTTCCAGCCTCTTGCATACTATTGAACTAGAAAATCTAAGAAAGTGACCGTAAAAAACAGTGATAGCCTTTCAACTATAAAATAACAATAATAGCACAAATGAAGAGCTGGACGTGACATGTCACTTAAAAAGGCCTATTATACTCAAATGATCTTTCATTCTTTCTTGATGATGTTGCCATGTAATTTGGTTGGTGTTTGAATTTTGGATATGTTTGGTTCACAATTTTTTTTTTTTTTATGGTAGTTGCTATAGAGGAATAGTAGCTATTTTCGTAAAATGCATTCTGACCCTCAAATAAGTAAATTTCAGTATAAGTTCAAAGAGAATTAAGTGTTTTAGCGGTAGGTTTATTCGTTTTTTTTTTGGTTAGACATGTAAGTTTATTGTCATTTATATGTTGCGTTCATAGTAAGAGTAAGGACGATAATTTTCAACATGACCTGCTGACACGATACAAAGAATTCGTATTTGGATCAACTTGTTTTCAAATTTGTATCATGTTTTTATTGCAAAAGTCGATCCAAAAAATTGTGTCTTGTTACGCGCCAACTCGTTTTAGAATGAGAGAATGAAGTTATTTTTCATTACAAGGAAAACAGAACGAAAAGTTACTTTGAGTCTTAATACATCAGGTTATATATGCTGTAGAGAAGACAAGCAACCCAAAAGTAAACTAAAACTGATCTACCAACTAAAAGTGATAGCGAAGCTAACAGTTAACAAAATAACAAACTAATTACAAAGAAATAAATCTATTTAAAATAAATAGGTATAATACCCCCCTCAAGTTGGTGGGTGGAGATCATGCAACCCCAACTTGAAGAGAAAATCATGAAATGGAGCTGGATTCAGTGCCTTTGTAAAAATATCACCAAGTTGCTAAGTAGTAGGAACATGCAAGAGTCGAATCAAACCAACTGCAAGCTTCTCTCTGATAGCATGACAATCTAGCTCTATGTGTTTGCTGTGCTCATGAAAAGAAGGATTATGGGCCAAGTAAATTATAGCCTGATTGTCACAATAAAGGCTGGCTGGTTGATTGGTAGGAACTTGAAGATCATTGAGTAAGTAAATAAGCCATTGAACCTCACAAGTTGCAGTTGCTAAAGCATGATATTCTGCCTCTGCAGAGGAACAAGAAACTGTGCTTTGCTTCTTTGACTTCCATGAAAGAAGAGAATCACCAAGAAACACACAAAAGCTAGTGGTGAACTTTCGGGTATCGGGGCAAGTAGCCCAATTAGCATCAGCAAAACCAGATAAAGCTAATGAACCCTGAGAAGAGAATAATAGACCTTTGGTTGAAGAAGCCTTGAGATACCTCAGTACCTGAATGGCAGTTGTATAGTGATCTTTCATTGGTTTGGCTATAAACTGACTTAATTGTTGCACAACAGAAGAAATATCTAGTTTGGTATTTGTTAACTACAGTAAACCACCCACCAGTCTTCTGTAAGTAGCATGATCATGAAACAATTCCCCTTGATCTTGTTTTAGACGTAAAGAGGGTTCCATAGGTGAGGATGCAGGCTTAGCATTAATTATCCCACTCTCAAATAGCAGTTCAAGCACATATTTTCTTTGATCCAGAATCAAACCAGTCTTGGATTGAGCAATCTCCATACCAAGAAAAAAATGTAAAGGGCCAAGATCCTTAATGTGAAATAAGGTATCTAAATGTTGTTTGACAGAATTGATTTGAACCATGTTGTTCCCGGCAAGAACCATATCATCTACATAGACCAAAAGACATGTGAAAACCTCACCATCTGCCTTGGTAAATAAACAATGATCAGCACTTGATTGGGTGAAACCATGTTTGTGAAGTTCTAAAGTCAGCCTTGCATTCCATTGACGTCTAGATTGTTTTAGTCCATATAGGGACTTTTGCAATCTGCAAACTTGGTTTTCTTTAGCAGGTACAATGCCTTGAGGAATAGTCATATAAACTTCCTTTGATAAGTCCCCATGAAGAAAAGCATTATTGATGTCAATTTGTTCAAGGAACCAATCTTTGGCAACAACAACTGAAAGCAACAATCTAACTGTGGTGAGTTTGGCTACTGGAGAAAAAGTCTCAAAGTAGTCAACCCCTTCCATTTGGTTGTAGCCCTTGGCAACTAAACGAGCTTTATGCCTAGCAATTGTGCCATCAGGGTTGTGTTTGATCTTATATACCCATTTAGAACCAATGGGATGCTTACCTTTGGGTAAATCAACAATGGACCAGGTCTGGTTGCGGTTGAGAGCATCAAGTTCTTCATTCATTGCCAAAATCCATTCTCTGGACTTGACAACTTGGCTGTAGGTGCGTGGCTCAACAAAGGAACTTAGGTTGTGACAAAGAGAGGTGTAGGATGAAGAACATTTATTATATGAAACAACAGAGGGTAAAGAGTGAATTGAAGATAAGTGTTTACTTGGAGATGACTTGTGTTCAACTAAAACTGTGGAGAGATTGCAATGAAAATCATTTAAATGGTGTGGCTGCATCCTTACTCTAGCTGACCTTCGAAGGGCAGTGGACTGATCTGATATTAAGTTCCGGTTCTGTGCTCTGGTTTCTGTAGACTTAAAAGCATCATTAGGTTGTAATGGAACAAGTTGGTTTTCAAGTAAGGGTAAAGTTATATTTTGGTTAGGTTGTAATGGAACAGGTAAAGTGACATAATGGTTAGGTTGTAATGGAGCAAGTTGTTTTGCAATTGAAGGTGAAATGACAGATTGGTTAGGTTGAGGATTAGGTAATTGTGAGTCATACATGATAGGCACAAGGGTAGGTAAGACTCTAGGAGATTCAGATGTTGAATTGTCACAGCTTTGATTATCAAGAAATGGAAAAAAAATTTCATAGAAAATAACATGTCTTGAAATGAAAATTTCTTTTGACTTCAGCTCATACAAGACATAACCTTTAGTACCATTTTTGTGTCCCAAATATATACATTTTTGGCCTCTAGCATCAAACTTTGTACAATAAGTTTGAAGAGTGGAAGCAAAAGAAAGACATCCAAATGCCTTAAGGTGGACAAAGACAGGTGGTTTTTGGAAGAACAACTCATAAGGGGATTTGTTTTGTAAAACTAGAGAGTTGAGCCTATTGATGATGTGAATGGCATGTTGGATACAGTAGCACCATAAGATCTTGGGAATATTCCTTTGAAAAAGAAGTGTCCTTGCTGTGTTTAATATATATTGGTGCTTTCTTTGCACAACACCATTTGGCTGTGGAGATTCAACATAAGAAGTCTGGTGTAGAATCCCTTTATGAGCAAAGAAATCAGACATCAAAAATTCAGAACCATTATCACTGCGAAATGTCTTAATGATTACACCAAATTGGTTTTCTATAAGTGTAACAAAATCACGGATATGAGTTCTAGTTTTAGACTTAATTTCATCATGATGCCCCATGTAAATCGTGTATGATCATCAACAATAGTTAAAAGGTATTTGTGCCCATGAATCGAAGGAATAGAATATGAACCCTAGATATCAATATGAACTAAATCAAAAGCTTTATCAGTGATAATAGAACTTAAAGGAAATGGTAATTTCTTTTGTTTAGCATAATGGCATATATCACAGGGATTGTCAACATTGTTACAAGAAATGAAAGGAAATTGAGTCATCATTGACCTTATTACAGAAGAAAAGCAATGGCCCAATCTTAAATGCCACAAATCAACTAGACAAGGCTGAACAGAAACTGTATTGGATGGACTATAACCTCATCAGGTAATGGCTGAGTCAAAAAAAATTCACGAGAGAGGGTGAGAAAAAAAATAAAATTCACACTAAATTAAGCAGGACAACATGATAGTAGGTCATTATGTAAAAAATTTAAGGAAAATGTTTTTCTCATGTTACATGAGAAACTTTATCTCATGTTATACACACATCAAAATCTGAGCCATCATTTTTTTTTCTTTTCTTTTAATTGTGTCACCCACCTAATTATGTCTCTACATATGCTATCTCATGTAACATGAGAAAAACATTGCCTAAGATTTGAATAACTCTTCAAGTTTTCTTCATAC